CCTGGGGGTGCTCATGGGTGTATTGAGGTCTTTACTGTCCTGAGCTTGTCCCTACCCAGCTCCCTGCCTCCCTGGGCTCTGCACCCCCAAAGTGCCACCTGTCCAACAAGAAGGGGCCTCGCAGCTCTCCCCGAGGCCCCATCTACCCCTCCACAGAGAGACTGCGGGGGAGAGTGGGACCACTTGCTGAGCCCCTCTGGTGCAGGACCTGGATGCCATGCAACGGAACCTGCTCCAGTCGAAGGGGGAGACCTGGTCCCCGGGGTCCCCTGGAAATTGCCAGTCCTACTGGGGACAACAGCCTAGGTCCCTGGGGAGCTCCCAGTGTGATAGGGGCGACCCAGGTCTTGCCTTGGATTGTCCTAGACGGATGAGAGGGACAGCTCCCACCCTCAGGGAGCTCTCAGCCTAAGCCAGAAAAGCAGCCCCTGCCCCAAGGAAACCTTCAGTCCAAAGGGCGAGACCCAGGTGCTGCCTTAGGGAGTTCTCAGTCTGATGGGAGGGACACAGCTCTGCCTCGGAAGTTCCAGACATGGGGAAAACATGCCGGAAGGAGCTTCTAACCTGCAGGCAAAGACACAGTCCCTGCCCTCTGGGTGTCTCCACTCTGACCTGGCGGAGAGGCCACGGGTCTAACGAAAGGTTGAGGCACAGACATAACTCTTACCCACTCAAACACACAGATGTCAGCCCAAACCCATGATGCTGAGCCTAGGGAGAGCCCCACTGAGCAGAGTGGGAAGAACTGGGTGACCTTGGGCAAGTCATTTAATCTCTCTGAGCCTCAATTTCCCTCACCTGTAAAGTGCTAGTAGTCATGAGGATGAGGGGAGGAAAAGGGATATAAAGTGAGTGGGACCAGTAAGGGCGCAATAAACAGTAGCTGTCATTATTTGGGGAGCGGGGGGGACTCCTGGAAGCACTTGTGCATCTGTGCCTGCGTGCACAGAGGGCAGGCATAGGTGGCCGCGGCCTCCATCCTCGGTAGGGTGATCGATGGCTTCCGTGGGGCGGGGCAGGACAGGCCCAGGCCAGCCTGGAGGGGGCCATTGTCTTGGCAAATGAGGTTTGGCTTCCCCACAGGGGCGGCCCCATCTGCTTTTATTGTTTCCAACAGCAGCATCGGGAATTCCCACCCCCCCAAGTCCTCACACCTCAAAAATCCCATATAGGGGTATTGCTGGCGGGGGGGAGGGGAGGTTCTCAGAGGCCCCACCCACCTGGCAGCTTCCAGCTTTGTGCTCAGCTCTAGTATCCCACACCCACCTCCTGAGCCAGAGTCCTACCTCCTGCATTGTTACAGGCACTCGCCACCCCTCCTCCTCACCTAATGGATCCTCCTGGCCCCCTACTCCCCAAACTTCATTATGTTGGTGCCCAGACAATTTAACACCATTTGCTGTTTGGTCAGACCCATCACTTAATCATCAAGTGACAAAACGCCTGCTGTCGGCTCTGGCAGAGGCTAGTGTGGAGCAGAAAGACACCTGGAGTCAGACAAGCCTGGCTATGAATCCTGGCTCTGGCACTTAATAGCTGTGTGGTCCTGAGCAAGTCAATCAACCTCTCTCGGCTTCAGTCCCATATCTGAAAGTTGAATATGTCCAGGCATCATTTATTGGGCATTTACTAATCTAGGCCTAGACTTTTATATGCATTATCTACTTTAGCTCTTTGAAGTGGACAATATTTTGTAGATAATAATAACAATAACGGCTCAACATCAGGACAAAGATTTGACATACCTGCCCCAAGGTTACACAGCAGGGTAAGTGGTAGAGCCAGGATTTGAACCCACAGCCATCTGACTCTAAAGGCAGGGTCTTTGACCACTCCTCATGCTACACTCAGTGACTGACACCAGCGCAGAGGCTGTGACTCTCAGGGATGACACACGCTGGGGGCCTTCCCCCAGAGCCTGGCACAGACAGGGCCCCTAAATACTCGTAGGTTCTATGATTAGTCCTTCCCAGCTGCTTTGGATTCTGGCAGGGGCCCCATCTCTTGTGCCCCCACACCCATCCAGGGATGTGTACCAGATGGTCAATGCCAGGCCATGGCATCGCAGTGTGGACGGCTGCCAAAGCTGGGACCTGGCGGCAGGGCCTTTAGTGGCAAGGGCTCAGCCGCCCCACACGTCCTTCCTGGGGCAGGCCTGTGCTCCACCGGCCACAGTGGCCCGCTTGAGAGGAAAGGCAGGGGCAGGACAAGCTGAGGACCTGGAGCCACAAGAGAGGCAGGTCTCATCTGAAAGGGCCAGAGAAGCGATGCTCCTATGATGTGCCCCTGGGAACATGCCCAGGACCCCTCTCTGGAGGGAGCTCCTGCTTTCCCAGGCTGAGTCAGGGAGGCCAGGATGCAAATGCCTGCTCTGCCACATTCCTGGCTGAGACAAGCGAAGAAACTCCCTCCAGGTCACACAGCTGCTTTGGCCATCAGCTGGGATTCAAACCCACTCCGTGGGTCTTGGGCAGCAGCCTCCCTGTCTAGCTTCAGTTTCTTCTGCTATAATGAGGCACAGAAAGCATCCTCATCTTCCAAAGGGATGCAAAGCCCCCAGTACCACAGGGATTTTCTAGGCGTCTTGCCCCCTCTGCAACTTCCCCAGCCATGGTCCTTTTCTCCAGGGCCAGCTCTGCCCCTGGTCTGGCCAGCAGGACCCAGTGGAAGCCAGGGATAACCTGTGGCTTGCAATTTTCAGTTCATTCCTGTCCCCTTTCAATAGAGCAAGTGTGCTTAGAGCACCTGCTGTCTGTCAGGCACTGGGACCACAAGTGGAACAAGACCCAGCCCCTCCCGGGGAAGTGCAGACCAAGAGAGACAGGGAGGCAAGGGGGAGCTGGAGGGTTTCCCACGGGCAGGGACGGGCAGGGATGTCTGACCCCAGCCTGCAAGGTGGGCAGGCTTCAACTAACACAGGGCAGGGGAGACACTCCAGTTGGAGGGAAGGAAGTCAAGGCATGGAGAAGATCAGCCTTCCATCGTGGCTGAAACCCAGGATGCAGATGGGGTGTGGTGGGAGGCAGGCAGAACAGTTAATTAAGAGGCAACAGGGAGCCATTGAGGGGTTCAGGGCTGGGGAGGGGGGGTGGATTGAATGGTGAAGAGGAAGGGAGAGAAAGTGCCATCATTTCCATGTGGGTGAGGGGTAAGGAGGCTCTGAGCAAGGCCCCTAGAGGGTCTCAGGGGCTGCTGAGCTGGCGGTCCTGAGGAAGGCTGTGGTTGGAGGAGGCAGGGGGGCTGAGATGGCAGGAAGGTCCTGGGTTGCCAAAGTGGGGCCTGTCTGCCAGGCAAGATCAGCAGCAGGAGGCTGGATCGGGGAGGAGGAGAGTCCCCAGCCCCTTTCTTGTCTCTCTAAGGAGAAAGGATCTAGTTGCCAGCCCTGACTGTGGCTGAAAACAAAAACTCGGCCAGGGGGGCCCAGAAGTTGCCAGCTGGGAGAAGGTTTCCTCTTCCCAAGCTGCCCTCATTATGCCACTTAGGCCACATCACTGCGGACTCCTGGGCTGGTGTGTCACCTGTTGTGACGACATAGATGATGGTCAGAGGGTTTGGGCAATTACTCAGCAGGTCCAGGGCCTGGCAAGACAATCCCCCACAGAGGAAAGGAAATGGCTTGTGAGCTAGCGCCATGAAACAAGAAATTGGTGCAAGACAGAGGTTCTGAATTGGGAATGAGTCATATGGAAGCCTCCTGATGAATGACCAGCTGTTGGCAACAGAGAGGAAGAGGGAAAGAGAGAGAGTGCCTGTAAGAGGGAACGCCTTATGGGCCGGGGGAGGTGACCGTGATGCAGGAGGGGGCCTTAGTCAGGTTCCTCTGCAGTGTCTCTAAGCCTTGGATTTTTGACCCATTTCCTCCTTTCTGTAGAGGTGCCATCCCACCCCCACCCCTCAGGGACTCTAGGCTCCCCCATGGCCGCTGGGTGTGTACCAGGCTGGCGTCCAGTGTGCTTTTCTTGCTGTTTCCTATAGGCACATGCTATTATCCCTGTTTTATGAAGGGGACACTGAGGCTCAAGGAAGTGTGTTCCTTTGTCCAAGATCACTCCCAGAGCCTCTGTCTGCCGGACCCCAGAGGGGTAGTACTGAACCAGTACCAGGACCTCCTTGCGTGCCACCAGGCCGGGAGGTCGACAGCGTGGAGGAGTGCGCTGGGCAGGAGAGACTAGATGGAGGTGAAGGCTGAGGGCGCACCCAGTGGAGGAAGTCAAGAAGACTTGCCGGGGAAACCCAAGAGCCCTCCCATCTCAAACCTCGGCTCCGCAGGCGGCTGAAACCCCGGTGCGCAGAGGCAGAAAAGCCGGCGGTGGCGAGGGAGTGAGGCTGAGCCGGGGCCAGAGGAGGGAGCCCAGCGCCGTCGAGGTTGCTAGGGCGCGGTACTGGCCCGGGGCCGGATGGGAGGGCGTGGGCCTGCAGTGCTGACGGGTGGCGCACCCGGAGCCCCCCTTCCCCCGGAACACACCCCGGCCCCGTGGACAGCCTCAGAAGGGGCAGGAGGGCACTCCTGCCAGTTCTGCCCGGGGTTCAGGGTGTCTTCGAAGCTTCTTCGAACGGTGGTGGACTGGAGTCTCTGGCCTGAGAGACCACCCAGAGACTCAGAGACAGAGAGACAAAGAGAGACCAGGTCCCAGAAGGAGAAGACCAGTGCCGAGGAGGAGGGTGGGGGAGAGCAGCGACGGGGAGGGATCGGCGAGGGCGCGCGCGAGGCAAAGTGTCAGAGCGTGGAAAAGTGAGCGTCCGGCGGAAGGTGGGCGGACGAGGAGGCCGGGAGCAGAGGCAGGAGCAGAGGGAGGAGGCGGCGAGGAGCTCAGGCGGCAGACGGACGGACCGACGGGTCCGAGGGCAGGGAAGGCAGGAAAGAAAGCAGCATCCTCTCCTCAGCTTCAGTCCCCCGCGCACTCCGCTCCTGAGCGCTCCAGGTAACCCACCTTTGTCCGGACGCACAGCCAGGTGAGGCGAGAGGGCGGGGCCAGGGGCGGGCCAAGGCCATGCCTTACCTGTCCGGCCCGCGGGGCGGGGCAGGGGCCGAGCGCCTGAGGGAGCCGAGCGCAGCCAAGGGCCGAGCCGCGAAGCTGAGACGCGCGCGGAGAGGTGCGCGGGCGGCAGGAGGATGTGCCCAGGCTGAGCAGGGCTGGAGGGAAGGGGGAGGGGGCGGGCGGGATTGAGGGGGGCGGGAGCGCTGGGAGGGGACGGGGGAGGGGCGGTGGGGAGGGGGCTCGGCTGCCCCCCGCCGAGGGGCAGCCCGGGGCCAGCCCGGGCCCCGCGCGCTCCCGGCCGGCGCGCCCTCGCCAGCTGCGCTCAGCGTTCCGGGCCCGCTCCCCAGAGGCCTAGCTGCCGCCGCCGCGAGGGCGCGGGGCAGACAAAGGAGGCAGACAAAGGCGGGCGCAGCTGGGAGGCCGTGCGGGCACCGGGCGAGGCGGGCCCACTCCTCCTGGTGCGTAAGAGCCGCCTCGGCGCGGCCTGGGGTGCGTGGGACAGGCGGGGTGCGGGCAGCGGTGGCGCATCTGGAGCGGCCCCGCTGGAAGCGGGCGACAAAGGGCCGCGGCAGGGGATCCCTGGCAGACCCCAACAATAGATCGTAGCTGAGCGCTCAGCTGAGGCCGCGTCTGGCCGTACAGGGGCCGGCCAGTCCCCAAAAGGATTATTCCGCCTAGGCTGTCAAATGGGACGGAAGAAATGCCCAGTGCGAAGGAGGCGGGACAGGGCACCGCGGAGTCTTTGTAGCCTCCGAAAGTGCGCGGAGTCGTGGGCGGGGTTCTAGGAGAGGTCACTCTTCGATGCAGGGGTATAAGGGGTCTTCAGTTACCGGGTGAGGATCGCGGGCGCTGACGGCCGCACTGGTGCCCCCCCTTCCACTCCCCCCACACACCTGGGAAGGAAGGGAAGACAATTTGCCTACCAAACACACGCGCACACACACGCGCGCGCGCGCGCAAAACACAATCCGCCTCTCGCCACGCCCCATCCAAAGTAGGTCTGATGCTCCCCAGCCCGGCCCAGCCGGGACAAAGCCAGCCCGGGGCCGGCTCATCCATCACCGCGCGGGGCGCCGCGCCTGCCGACCCTGGGAGTCCGGGAATGCTGTGTTATGGGTCCCTCGCCCCCCATAACTCATGGTGGGGTCAGCGGGGCCACGAGCGCTGCAAAGACCAAAGAGCGGTGGGGCGGGACCGGGCGGGGGGGCGGGCAGTGGCAGTCTCGCCCAGCGCTCAGAGCTCGCCCGGTGTCTTCCATTTCGATGGATTTCTTCTTTCTCCAGAGTGTGGCAAGTGATGGCTCAGAAGTTTAGGAGCCATGCGCTGTAGTCAGGCTAGATGTCTGGGCTCTTCTTGTAATGGCATTCCTTGTCCCCTTGGCAAGTCGCCTAACCTCTCTGAGCTCATCATCATCCCTAACTCTCAGGATTCAAGGATTAAGTGCCATGACCGGTGTAAGGAGATAATGTTCCTGAGGTCCTGGCCCCATAGGAAATGCCCTAGAAAAATTAACTGCTATTGTTATTATAATATCATCAGCCTGATGGGCTCCAGGATGAGTTGGGTTATGAGGAGAGCAGAAACATGATCTGACTTAGGTTTTGACAAACTCATCTGATTCCTAAAGTTGAGAATCGACTGCAGTGGGGCCAGGACAAAAGCAGGGAGACTAGTGGCAGAGAAGAGGTGATGGTGGCTTGGGCCTGGGAGAGGGACAGTGGGCGTGATTCTCCTTTTCAAGGATGAAGCTCTGGCCAGGCATTCGCTGAACCAGAAGCAAACGATTGGAGATTCTGGTTCAAATGCTGCTGCTGTTGCCGTGGCTGTTCACCAGTGGGGCCGTCTTTGGCAGGGCATGGACTCTGCTCTCCCAGAGTGATGCAGTGGGGAAAGCTGGCTGTTAGGAGATGCCTGGACTCCTAGCCTATCCAGGTTATGGTGACTTTGGGCCTCAGTTTCCCTATAGTTGAATGGCCAAAGTGGAAACAAGCCAAATGTCCATCGACTGATGAATGGATAAACACAATGTGGAATATTCACCCAATGGAATATTATTTAGCCAAAAAAAGGAATGAAGTACCAATACTTGCCACGATCTGGATGAATCCTGAAAACATTATGCTAAGACATAAAAGGCCACATATCGTATGATTGCATTTATATGAAATGTTCAAAATGGGTAAATCCATAGGGACAGAAAGTAGACTAGTGGTTTCGGGGCGCGGGGGTTGGGGGAGACTGGGGACCACGGCTAATGGGTATGGGACTCTTTTTGGAGTGATGAAAATGTTCTGGAATTAGATAGTAGTGACTGATGCACAACTTTATGACTACACTGAAAACCGCTGAACCGCACACTTTAAAAGGGTGAACTTGGTGGCTTGTGAATTATATCTCAATAAAGCAGTTATTTTTTGAAAAGTGGCAGTTGAGCTGGATCAAGGGCTCTTACCCTGTGGTGCAGGCTGACTTCAGAGGACCCGGGAGCCCCTGAAATTGTGGAAGACATGTAGTATCTCTGTGCATTTTTCTGGGGAGAAGTTCAAAGTTTGAGAAGATTTGTAAGGTCCCCCAGACCAACAAGGGATCAACAACACTGGGGAGTCAGCACAACCCCAGGAGGGAATGGCATGTGTGGGCCCTGCCCTGTCTGAAGTGTTGGAAGCTGCCTAGTGTTTCTGGCCGAAGGTCAGGGCCCTGGCTTGGGTCCGAGGTCAGAAGTGGACCCCAGGATCTGGGGCAGCTGTGCAGGTCAGGCCTCACACCAGAAGGCCACAGTTCCTTGTCTTTAGGCATCTCGGGCTGTGAGGATGCATGTCCTCCCTTGGGGTACCTTGGGGACTGCCTGCTGCCTTGGGAAGTGGAAATAGGGAGGGGGCACAGCTAAGGATGTTTAGGATGGGGTTTTGAAAAGTGTGATGGCTGGTCCCGAGTGTTTGCTCCAGGGGCTTAGATATGATGTATAGATATTAATATCGTCATAGCAGCCGTTAATTGAGCATTTATGTGCCAGGCATTGTGCACTCTATATTTTTACAAACACTATCTCATTTACTCCTCCCTCAATCCAGTGGAACTGGTACTACTACTGTCCTATTTTACAGATGAGAAAACAGATTCAGAGAGGGAAGGACCTTACAACTGGTTAAGGGGCAGTGGCCGGGAGAGAAATGCCAGGTTGGGTACATGAGCAGCCTGGTGGGTGTGGGGGGCACCATAGCGAGCATTCCACATCTCTGCTTTGTTTTTGAAAGGAGCTCTTCTCTGCATACCACCATCTGTAGCCCACGCTGAAATCAGACGTCTTTGCTCCCCATCCAGACTAAGTTAGGATTCAAGTCAGGCAAGTGGTAGTGACGCCCTGTCTGCCATCATTTCATTCCTCCATTCTTTCATTCACTCATTTAACACACTCTCATTGAGAACCTGGATTTGGCCAAGCACCTGAGTGAGGTGCTGGGCTGAAAGAATGAATGAGGCTGGGTCTTTACTCATGGGCATCCCAACTGGTGGGGCCCCGAGCATTGGCGTGTCAGTGGGACTGTCACCAGGCTATTTGCGGCTGACTCTGAGGCTCCCTCCATCCCCCTGTGTTTGGTGTCCTGGGACCCTTAGGCAGGGATGGGACAATATGTCCTGTGGTCAGCCTGGTGGGTACAGGAGGGACTTTCTTTGGAGCATCTTAGGGGTCTGGACCCTCACTGCCTGTTGTTTTCCTCAGTTCACTCATTGCGTGTTTGTTCAGTGAACCCCAGGAAGCCTTCTTTGCCCATGCAGACTTCAGTCTTTGCAAGACTTTCTCACATCTTGCTTTCTCTTGGTTTCAATTTAAATGTCTCTCGGGAGTGATTTTCTTTCGGGTCCTGTTGCAGACCCATTGCCGACCCTCAGAGACCTGCTCCAGTTGGCAAATAAGCTCTCTCTCCTCCTAAACATCCCTCCTTCCCTCCCAGATGCCTTCCTACATATTGTCATTATGGTGAAAAATATGCAAATAATTTTGAAAAACAGTCTCCCAGCAATTGGGTATTCAAAAATGTAATAAATTAACCCCATAATGCAATCTGGGTCCCATGACTATCCATCACGCTGATGCGATTAAGGTAGGAAAAACCAGATGCCGCAGAGCCTGATGGATGAAAGTGATAGATGAGTCTTCACAGAGCTCCCCCGTGGCCCTGGGCTGATGCGGCCCCCTGCCTCTGCCCCATGCCCAGCTTCTTGGCCCCCATGGAACCCAAGGCCATCAGATGTTTAGGGAACATCTGTCCAGTCTGTTCCTTTCACAAATGAGGAGATGGATGCCTTTTGGGGGCTGGGGGTCAGATCAGTTTGAATCCTCATCTGTCTCCCGGCCCGCCTTCCTCTGCTTATGGCTGACCCTGAATCCAAAGCCCCAAACTCAGGCATTTTTATCCATGGGTTTCTAGTTGACAAGACGGGTGCCCCAGTGTCAAACAAAGGCTGTTGGGACCTCAGTTTCTCAAATGTGAGTATTAGGTTGTATTTCTGCCAAGGTTTCTCTGAAGTTCTGTAGCGCTGTTGTCAGGAGACCTATGGGTGGCTTGTACTGTCTTCTCAGGGCAGTGTGCTTCTGCTGGGGGCCGATGAAAGGAGGGCTTGGCGTGAGCCCCCATGTCACTCACACTGTGCTCTGGAGGCCACCCCACAGGACTAGCTGGGCTCTGAGCTTCTCCATCCCAGGCCCCAATCCTAAGGGACCCTTTACAAGAAATCGCCCCCCTCAGACTGCCACTTCCTGTCCCCAGGGAAAAGTTGCATGAGCAGCCTCCAGAGAGGGGCAGAGAAGGACCCTCACTTTCCCCAGTGTCCAAAGCATCCGTGATGATAAAATCTCAAGGAGCCCGGGGACCCTGTCTACCAGCCAGTGAGCTGCTCGGCTGACTCTGTGTGGACATACTCCTCTCCTTCACAGCACGACATGGGCACAGTCCCCAAGTCTTGAGAAGGGTTGCTGTGCCCAAAACGTGCTGCCCAGTGCATCAATTCCTGAAATAAATCATCCATCCCTTTGGGTTAAGCATTGCAATTATATGAAAGAACGCAGACTTTCCTTGGGAACAGCCCTAGGAAATCACTCTGGCAATTTCCACACTCTTTTGGGCATCAGGGCCCCTGGGGAGCTTGTTAAAGGGCCAGTATTCTCCTGTGCACCCAGACTGATCCGGTGGGTCAGGGAGGCCTAGGCTCCAGGTGTTTAATGGGCTCCCCAGGGATCCTGATGCAGATTTACAAAGACTGCTTTTGAGAAATGCTCTGCTGGCATTCCTGGCTTAATGGGCCGGGCTCCTTATTCTCTCCCCTGCCCCCACGCCATCAGAAGTATGCATTTGCAGGTTTGGAGGCATGGGGGTAAAGAGCAGGGTGCAGGTCTCCATACTGAGCTGCAAACAGTAAACATTCCTGGCTAGATCTCTGTATCCACAGACGGGCACGACCCCTAAAAAGCTCTTCTGTCCCTGGGGTCAGGGACAAGGGCCCCAGGCTTCCGGTCCTGACTTGTTGCCCATAACTCTGCGGCCACTTCTCTGACCTTAGTTTTCCCACCTGTAAAATAAAGGGTCTGAAAATAAATGGAAGCCCTTGAAGTCAGAACTGGGTTTGTATTCCAACTGTGTGATTTAGGCAAATTATGGAACATTTCTGAGCCTGTTTTATGATCTATAAAGTAGGCTGTATAATGGGTGCTAAGCTCCTAGGGTTAATGAGGGAATTAAAGAAATGAGTCCTCCACACATAAGTGCTCCATCCATGTTAGTAAATATTTTAACATTACTGTTGCCTCCCAGGGGCCTTTCAGCCCCTCCAGAGTCCACGGAGGGGGCGGGGGGACACACGACTCCAGAGCTGTAAAGTGTGTGGCAGAAGACACCTCCGCCTGCCCCTCCCCCAGTAGCTGTGTGACTCGGGCAGATTACCCCTCTGAACCTCGTTTAGCTCATCTGTAAGATGGGGACAGTCAGAGTAACCGTCTCGTGGAACTGTTGGAAGATTTAGTGAGAATAATCCACGGACACACTGAGCCCAGCACCTGGCACACGGCTGGACCTCTATAAAGGTCAGCTATTTTTATGATGCATAGGCCCGGGAGGTTTTATCTTCTTGGGAGATAAAGCCAGGCTGCACTGAGGTTCCGGGTGGGGGCGTCCCCGGTGTCCTCCCTTGTCCCCGCCCCGGAGCCGGCGTATTTCCTTTCGGTTGGGCAGCTAAAGGTAGGGGGATGGTGACTCCGGAGCAAGCAGTAGATGTCGCTGTCCATAGTCCCGAGCTACGACCTCCATCTGGTCCTCATCTGCAACACATACCTGCCCCTTTTCCAGCGCCTCTTAAAACAAGAAAAATGCCCTGGGGCGGGGGGAAAGACGTAGCGATCCGACGTGGCGACCCAAGTTGTCTTTTTTTCGCGCCCGCCCAAGATTGAAAGGAGGCGGCGCAGCGCAGGCTCAGCCCACTCGCCCCAGGGCGTCACTGGCCTCGAGGCCGGGCCCCGCCCCCCCGGTCCCGTCCCCTCCCGTCTCCGCGATTGGCTGCGCGGCGCGTGGGCGGGGTTGGCCCGCGCGCTAGGACCCGCCGGAGCGCCGGGGACGTAGCGGAGCCGCTGCCGGGCCGCGGGTTGAGCAGGAGGCACCAGCGGCCTGGTCGGGGGTTCCCCCGTGCCGGGGCCGGGCCCCGAGCCGGGAACCGAGGCCGGAGCTGGTACCAGGGGAGGGGAGGGGAGCGGGGCGGGATCCCTCCAGGGAGGGTTCCAGCCGGCCAGGGGGTGGAGTCTTATTCCAGCCTAGTTTCACTTTCCGCGTGTCCCGCTTTTCGCTCCCGGCCGTGCGCGTCCCGCGGTTCCCTCTGCGTCCTCGGCCATGCCCTTTTCGTGGGCACAGCTCTGGCCTCCCCTACCCCCCAGACAGCGGGGCGAGGCGGCCAGTGGACAGAGGCTGATCGAGGCGTAGCTGATGCCCCCAAGCTAAGATGCCAACGTCGAGGGGATCTTTCCCAGCTGCCTTGATTCTGCGTGAACTGGGGGTCCTGCCCCGATTCGCTCCAGACGGAGGGGAGGGGCGGTGGAGGCGAGGCGCCGTGGATGCGGGCGGGCCGCGCGGCTGCCTGGGCCTTGGAACTAGCCCCACTCCTGCCCCACCTCCTAGGTGGCGGGAAGGATGACCACGCTCACGCGACAGGATCTCAACTTTGGGCAAGGTAGGGAGGCTGGACCTGCGGCCGCGGGGTGGGGGGGCGAGGGAGGGCGGGGCCGGCGGGCTTCCCCGAGCGCCCCGGGTTCTGCTCCCTCGCAGTGGTGGCCGATGTGCTCTGCGAGTTCCTGGAGGTGGCCGTGCACCTAATCCTCTACGTGCGCGAGGTCTACCCGGTGGGCATCTTCCAGAAGCGTAAGAAGTACAACGTGCCTGTCCAGGTGAGCCCCCACAGCCGCGCTGGGGTCACTGGGTCACCTCCGAATCACAGAGTGGGAAGAGGGTGGATTTTTAAAACTCTCTTCCACCTTCAGGCCCGGCCCCCTCATTCTGCAGCGGCCTGGCCCGGCCTACCAGTTCCCGCAGCTGCTGACAGCCTGACAGTCTCCTGCCCCTGTGGCAGTGGCGGTGGTGTTTCCTCCCATCCCCTCTGAACTGGGAGTTCCCCTTGCCACAAGTTAGGGACCAGGCCCTCGGATTAGAGTGGCCCACGGGGCGTGGTTGTATTTTAAAGGAGCACCTGAAGCTGGTGAACGGTTGGTTTGGGGAGGGGATTCCTGTAAACCTCAGGCACCTTCCCTCCCCTTATTTACCCTAATCCTGATGGGTTGTTTTAGATTAAAAGGCAGACACAGCAGTAAACATAGGCTAGAAGTGCCTGCCCCTTAGAAGGCACTCAGTAAACAGTAGAATAAATGACCGAATACTGGAAGGTGGTGGAAGCTGAAAGGATATACAGAGAAAAGGAAAAAAGAATCAGCACTTAACTGGGCACCCACCGTGTACTAGGTACTTATCTCACTTAATCCTCACTTTGTCTATATGAGATCTTCACAGGTGACTGACTGAAGTTCAGAGAAATTAAGTAATTTGTCTGAGGCCACCCAGCTCCTTAGTTCCAGACTCTTACCTTCTGAAAATTGATGAAGTTTCTGGATGCCTTCTCTGGAAAAATGCCCATATGCCCAAATGCACACAACTCTGTATACAATTCAGGGGCTTCTCTCTGGAGGAGCCCAGGGACTCCACATTAGGAACCCCTAAAGCTATACTAAATACTGAGATTGAATTCTTCGTGTTCTGACTTCTCTTCCTTTGTAGACAATTCAGTTCTTAGCCCCATGACAGGAAGCCAGTCTCTTGGGTAGGGAGCCCTAAGGGACCGCTGGGCCTCTTTCCAAAGGCAGACAGGGCCCTGGGCTCCTGGAGGGGGTGTCAGGGGGTTTCCCCATCGGTGCTGCGAGCCTCACCTGCCATCATGGGGTTGTGTGCAGATGTCCTGCCACCCGGAGCTGAACCAGTATATCCAGGACACACTGCACTGTGTCAAGCCACTCCTGGAGAAGGTGAGAGCACCAGGCCGCCAGCCCACCTCACCCCTAGTCTGCTCTTCCATGCTCACGGACCCAACCCCGGGATGGGGTGATGTTGAGACCATTCGGGGTCCCCATGACCCTAAAATTCAGAAGGCTATTCTCTGGACAGCCACCCCCCAACCTACCCTAGGGACAGGACCCAGGGCACGTGGGCCACACCTTCAGGGTGTGCTGTGCCCCAGAGCCCTGGTTAGTGGAGTTGGCTGTCTCAGTGGGGCCTGTGGGGAGGGTTCTGGGTTCTTCTCACATCTGTTTCTCTCTGCCACCACCCCCAAGTTCTCTCTGGGCTCAGCCCCTCAGGGTTTCCTCCTCCCTGAGACTTCCCGGGACCCTCACAGGGCCCATGCCTCCTCTCCTCTCAGCCTGTCCTACTCACTTCTGGGGTGCCTGCTTGAATTTCTCAAACCTGCTTCCTGGGCTCTCAGGGAGCTGGGCCTCGAAGCCGAGCAGGGCTGTGAGTGCACCCTTTCCCATGCTTCCTTGGGCAGGGACGGGGTGGCAGCAGGGTGGGGCTCCTGGTTCTGGAGTAGGGGCTTTCGGTCCTTGCAGAATGATGTGGAGAAAGTCGTGGTGGTAATTTTGGACAAAGAGCACCGCCCAGTGGAGAAATTCGTCTTTGAAATCACCCAGCCTCCACTGCTGTCCATCAGGTGAGCTGGCTGCCTCTCCTGCGTCCACCTGCCCGCTGGTGCGAGGTCCCTGGCAATACCTCCCAGCCCCACCCCTTTAAGGCAGCCCCTGAGTACCTTGGTAAAGGTCTGAGAGGAGAAGTGGCAAGACATGCCGACCTCACACGGCCCTGTAGCAGCTGAGTCGCAGCTGACTGCCCCGTGGTCTCTGCGGACATCACACAGGTTACACAGAGACCCTCCTGTTTCACACCTGGAAAATCTCAGCACTGGTGAATGGCTAGTCCCAACCTCATTTTACAGATGGAGAGACAAGATCCAGAGACATGACATGAGCTACCTAGAGTGACCCAGACGGTGGCAGAGCCAGGACACAGACCCCCAGTCCCCAACTTCCCAGTCAAACATCCAGTCCTTAGTGAAGTAGAAGTTGACTTTGGGCAGGTGTGTTGGCTGGTCAGCTGCTGGCTTCCCGTGGTGAAGTCAGCACTAGAATCTGTCCCCACTTGCTGTGTGGCCTCAGGCAAGCCATGTCCCTTCCTGGCTTGGAGTCCTGGGGAATGAAGAGGCTTGGGGCCTGTCCTGGTCCTCAGACCGGGCTGCACATTAGAACGACCTAGGGGGGCTCCCTATGCCCCCGACTCCACATTCTGGCCGTCTGGGATGGAGCTTGGCGTTGTTTAAACTCTTCAAGTGATTTTAACTGTGTAATCAGATAGGTAGCCAACAAGGCCCTTCGACGCCAACACTCTCAGCAGCCCTGGAGGGGCTCTGGACCCCCAGGAGTGCTTCTAGGGTTGCTTACCTGCTGGTGGCAAGGTGGGGGGACCAGTGGGATGAGGGCCCCCTCCTCTCTTCCCCCCAGCTCAGACTCTCTGCTGTCGCATGTGGAGCAGCTGCTCCGAGCCTTCATCCTGAAGATCAGTGTGTGTGATGCTGTCCTGGACCACAACCCCCCAGGTGTGCTCGCCCCCACCCCCTCTTCCCTGGGTGTTTCCATGGCTACCTTGGCTGAGTCAGGTTCCTATTTGGCTTCACCAGGCCTCCTCTCTTCCTTCCTGCCTTTTAGAACCCCTCCGAAAGTCCACTTCCTCCAGGAAGCTTCCCTGATGGACTCCACCTGGCCTCAGCCTCCCTGTTGACTGTGTCTTGGTGTACACTCTGCTTTGTGGGGCTGCTGAGCCAGCTAGGGAGGTGGGAAGAGGCTGTGCCCAGTGGCAGACATGGGGCGGCCCAGCCTTGACCGCACTCTTTCCTTTTCAGGCTGTACCTTCACAGTCTTAGTGCACACAAGGGAAGCTGCCACTCGCAACATGGAGAAGATCCAGGTCATCAAGGTGAGATGAGACCTGTCTGGGCGGGTGGGCAGGGAGACAGCTGGGAGGCTCTGAAAACCACATGCCACAGTTCTCAGTGAGCAGGGGTGGCCCATGGCCCGTGCACTCACTACACTGCTGGGCAGTGCCTGGCCCCCGGTAGGCTCTTGTGTGTTAACTGTGTGGCCACATGCTTGTCACTGCTCCGCCTGGGCACTCAGCATGAGAGGAGGGTGGAGTCACTTGTTGGGGCCGCCAGCTCAGTGGGGGTTCTCAAGGGAGGGGGTCCTTGCCCACCCATTTCAGAATCGGTGCTTGGGGCTTGTTAAATCACTTGGATTCCCAGCTCGGCTCAGACCTACAGACTTTGCCTCTCTGGTGGAGGAGCCTGGGAATCTTCACTTCTCTGGTGATTCTGATGCTCTCTGAAGTCTGAGGACCCCAGCTCCGGAGAAGGAGGGGGAGCAAAGTGAGGACAGGCCAGGGTCCAGCCCCCTTCCGGCCCCTTACCTTGGTCCCCTCCCTAGGACTTCCCCTGGATCTTGGCAGATGAGCAGGATGTCCACATGCATGACCCCCGGCTGATACCCCTAAAAACCATGACGTCAGACATTTTAAAGGTGAGCTGCATGGGGCCCAGGTTAAGCTTTATTTAGGGTTTGAGGCCTTGCCGAAGGGCTTGTGTATCAAGGCTTGCGGCAGAGGACCAGGTATGCCTACTGTAAGCCCCTTGCCGATTTCCCCTTTCCCTTAGCCCCTGGCTGTGGCCACACAGCCCGACCCTCGGTGGAGATCTGCCTGCCAGGGGCTCGAGGGCCCTCCAGAGTAGATGCCCGAGCTGTCTGTCTGACCATGGCTGTTTGTTCCTGTCCATCAGATGCAGCTCTACGTGGAAGAGCGGGCTCATAAAAGCAGCTGAGGGTGTGCCTGCCACCCATGGATGCCACGACTGTCGGATGTTAGGGGCCCCAGCCCAGGGCAGCGCTGCAGGGCCACCCTGACTGCAAGTGCTCTTACTGCCTGTGTGTGGACCGCCCTGCTCCAGCCCGGGGCTGCTCAGGTCTGGTTGCCTTCACTGAGGGATTCTCCCCAGGAGGGCAGGGAAGGTGTGGGACCACAATGCCTCAGCCTCCTGGGGTTTGGCCGGCCAACTCTGTCTGTCCCAAGTACTGTGCTGTGAGTTGTTTCAATAAAAGGGCCCCAAGGGCTGAGCTAGGTTGTCAGTAATTGGAGAGGGAGGGCTGCTTCTCTACCGAAGTGCCAAAGACCCCCAGACTACCACCCCCCAGCTCAGCCCCAGGCTGGTTTTACTGAAAACATTTCTTGTGACAAAATGTCAGAGCTACACGACAGTAAGTTACCACACACTGGTGGGTTTGCCTAAGGTTGGAACTAGGGCAGGAGCTCCCGGGGCAGGGGCCTCACTGCCCACAACATGCTCAGCTCTTGCCTGGAGGGGAGCTTCTGCACTCGGCTGGCCTGGCCTGAGGATGGATGAATGGCTGTCAGATGACAGACTGTCAGAAGGGCTTGTGGAGATCCAGTGGGGCAGGCAAGTGGGCAGCCTCCTCCTACCCCTGCGTGGCCTCCGGCTGAGCCGTGGAGGGGGCCAGGGTCCGAGTCATGTTATGGCTGATGATGATGCTGCTGTTGGTGACGCGGGGCCCGTACCAGCCTGCCCAGAACTGGGTGTCCTGGCCCCCGTGCTGGAAAAGGATGTGGCGGACGCCTGGAGGGTAGTCTGAGAAGGTGTGGGAGACCTGAGGGGAGGGGAGAGGAAGTGACCACTGGGAATGGGAAGGGGAGGAGAGGGGGTGAGCACTCAAGTGGAGAGGGGAAGGGAGGAGCCAGGTGCCATAGGAGAGAGCCACCCAGGCTGGCAGCAGCTCTGGGCAGGAGAGCAGGGGCTGCCCTGTGCTTCCTGCCATCCTGGCCCAGGGAGAAGTGGGTGGTGAGGGGCAAGCAGGTGAAGCCTCACCTCTGTCCACCTGGCATCATTCCACTGCTCAATGGTCACAGGCGGGGGCTCGAAGGAGGCCAAGGTGATGTAGTCGGCCGAAGTCAGGTGTACTCCGATGCGGTAGGTGCAGCCACAGTCTGCTCTGGCGGCGAACCTGGAGGAGGGGAGGGCTCAGCAGGTTGAGGGGGCCCTGGAGGCGGGCAGGCAGCAGGCCTACAAATTGGAGGTCAGAGTTTCATTTCCCTGCTCTGCCTAGGAGGCCCAACTGGCTTCAGTGCCCCATGGTGCCCCAGGGATAAGCAGTCTATTCATGCTGTTCCTCAGTTACCCCACTGAGAAAAGGGACAACCTTTCTGGGTGTCCCAGTGAAGATGTCACCTTAAAAGCAAAAGACTCTGTACATAGATAAAGGCTGGAGCTGTCAGACCTGTGTCACCTGTACATTAGAATACCACTGCATTATGCTGTATATTACGAAACCACAGGGCTGTGGATTCAATGGAGAATTCAAGGGGTGGCCTGTGTGAGGGGGCTGACACGGAGCTCACCCTCTGCTCAGCCCTCTTGCCCCCCTGCTGTAGCTCTGCAGACTTCTCAAGTTCCCCCCACTCCCCCAGTGTGGTGGCCCTGGGGCCTGGCTAGAACTGCCGTCCTGCTTCTGCCGCAGGCCAGGCCACAGCTCTGTGCGCCGACAGGAGTTTGGGAAAGAGTTGTGGGAGGAATCGTGAAAAGGGCGGGGAGGTGTGCGAGTGTCTGTGAGGTCCAGGGAGGCTGCGTCCTGGTGGCTCTGTTGCTGTGGTGCCTGTTCGTGCAGTCTCCCCATCTGCAAACTGGGCTAAGGTCTCCTGTGGACACGGGGGTGGCAGGCGGGGCAGGAGGCGCTGTGGATGAGCAAGTGCTGGGTCTGTCAGCAGGGGGGCTGGGGCAGGGTTGGCCTGGCTCTCAGGACAGCCCCAGCCCCAGGACACTGCTGGGCACAGAGTGGATGGTCCCTACGGAACCTGTTCTCAGGAAGAGAAGAGGGAAGGATGCAAAGTATGGGACTCGGGCCATGGCCCCTCACCAGTCCTTCACCACGATGTCGGGCCGGAACGTGTCCAGCAGCTCCTCCCAGTAGCCCTCGGCTTTGAGGTCCACCAGCTGGGACTTGAGGCACAGGCTGGGGAGCAGAAGGAAAGGCTTGTATTCCCAGGCGTGAACCACCAGGGAGGTGATTCAGGGGACCCAGCAATGTCCCCTGACCGTAGCAGGACAGCCACTGGCTGGTGCTGCCTCTGGGTCTTACTTCTGGTGCAGGCCCGTGAGAAACATGCAGGGAACGTGACCCGCTTGTGCCTACGTGGCATCTGATCCCAGCCCAGAGGGCCAGGCTCCCAGGGCCCTGAGGAGGGGACCTCTGAGAACTCACATATCTAGATTAGGGACAGCCTGTAGACACCTCTGACTTACCCTAACCACCCACTGGGTTCCCCGCCTCCTTCAGTTATCTCCACCCCCCCACTGCCGCTGAGTTTACTCCTGCTCCAGGAAGCAGGGGACTCGGAACCGGTTTTGAAACACCTCCCTCGAGCTTCACAGAGAGGCCCTCACTTAGGCCTGGAATTTGGCAAAAGATCTCCTGACTCTCTTCCTTCAACATGGCCTGCCCGGGTCGAGTGGTCTTACTCATAGGACGTGACAAAATACTTCTTGACTCTGGAGTCCGGAAAGTCTGTCCCATGCGCTCCAGGGAGGCTCTCTACCCTCCAGTGGTCTCCCCCGTTGGAGATGATTTGCCACGATGCCATACCCTCTAGGAAAAACAGAAGCCGAGGTGAGAGCCCCTGTGTGAAGGGACAGTCTGGTCCTCCCCACCTGGGCCGGGAGGGAGGGGGTAAGGCCAAGCTTGCTGGTGCTCAGATCTCAAGGCGTGCGCCCCAACCATGCCTTGGAGCACCCCCACAAAGCTCCCCTCCCACATGTTCCCACCTGTCCCCACCATATCAGCTCTGATCTGGGACCCTCTCCCTCCCACTTTGTCCCCGACTGGCTTGACTCCTAACGTGAAGCTAGAAAAAAAGAGTATTACCAGCATTTCTAAACCAGCCTCTCCTCATTTTCATGTTGCTGAGGGGCTCTGGGAAATACCCGAGTTTCAGTTCTCCAAGCCTTAAATCAGGAAGGGCCTGTGATGGTGCTTCTGTTCCTCGGGGCTAATGGGAGTTCGTCCCACCTCAGACCACTTATTAGGTGACTGACACTCCCCCTGACGTCAGCGTCCGGATGTTAAGTATGTAACCGATCTGAGGGGCCCTGAGGACCGACTGGCGTGTTTGTGGGTGTGCTGTGGGAACCTACTGTGCTGACTCAGACCCCGTGCCCGGGGCGGGAGGGATAACCGGGAGGGTGGGCACCCTCTGGGTTGGTGGCGCGCAGTAGCCCTGTAGTCATGGAAGGAACCCTAGCAGGTTGGCTCGGCAGGTTCGGAGGCGCAAGGCTGTCCTTCCTGGTCTCCCTCTTGAGACTGAGCTGAGGGGACCTCGGAAAACAACAGTGCTTCTCTACCAAGGTTTTCCAGAACAATCACCTGGGGAGCCTTTCCAAATGATTCCCTTGTTCCTCTACTAAGAGCCCGTCTATTTCTGGGCGACCCCCAGTAGAGAAGCAGAGGAGGAGGAAGACAGAAATCCAGGCGCTGGGCTGGTGCTGAGCGCAGGCCCAGGGGAACATCTTAGCCAGGCCAGGCTGACCGCTGCGGGGCCCGGGGCCCAGGTCAAGGCAAGGCTGAAGGCTGCCTCTGTGGGGTGGTGTGAGCTGAGCGGCGGCCCGGCTGGGCAGCCTCTGAGTGGAATCTGGGGCAGGCGGAGAGATTGAGTGTCTGGGGCGCTGTCTGTGGGGCCTCTGAGAGGGCCTGAGGGCCTTCAACAGTCAGGAGCAGGCCCCAGAAGCTAGGCAGTCGTGGATCTTAGGGCAAGTCACTCATCTGGGGCCTGACACTCCCCATCTATAAAATGGAGCCAGTTCTACTTATTTGGCCAACTCCGGGATCCTCATGAGGATAAAGAGAAAACACACAGGAAAGGGACCCGGAGTGCACAAACTATGCCCCTTCATCACTCTGAGCCCAGCAAGCAGCACAGTGCCTGGTGCGTGGTAGGTGCTGAACAAAGGAAAAAGCCCTCAGCATAACCCAACTGGGCACTCAGACTATGTGAGTGCAGTCACCTCTCAAAATCCTCCTTTTCTTTATCTGTGAAATGGGCATAAGGGGAGGACAATCACCTGTGTAAAGCCATCAGACTAGTGTCTGGCCAGAGGGAGCCCTCCATAAACATGAGGCAGCATGGACTGAACTCATGGGAAGGTGGTCTCGGTGCTCATTCATTCAACAAACCTTCCCTGAGCACCTGCTGTATGGACACTGTGTGTGGGGTGGCAAACAAGATCCATTAGGCCCCTGGAACTTGAAGTTTATGGCAGAGAAAAAAGTAAAGAGACAAGATAATTATAGGTTATGAAAAGTGCTATGAAGGAACTAAATGGGGTGATATGATAGAGGTGGGGAGCACTGTTTTTTACATGCGGGATCAGGGCAGGTCTCTGAACTGAGATCCAAAGGAGGAAGAACCAAGAGTGGTGGGTGTTAGGGGTGTGAGAGAACATTCCAGGTAGTGGGAACAGCAAGTGCAAAGGCCCTGAGGTTCAGGAAAGAGGGACCCACCCCCATGGCAGCTCCCAGCCCACCTTCAGCACACGGGTTGCGCAGGAGGTTCCTGCGGAGACTGCACAGAAAGAAGAAGATCTTCCAGTCGGCCACGGGCTGGTCCCAGTCCTCAGTGATGAAACCCTTCAGCAGACTCTTGCGTTTCCAGAGGGTCGAGACATCAACGAGGTCTCGCCAGAGGCTGCAGACGGGGCGGCAGCTGAGCAGCAGCTGGCGGGCCGGCACGTGTGTGAATACCTCCAGCAGGATGTTCTCGGGCAGCTCGTTGATGCTGGCCAGGGCCATGGCTGGGGAGCGGTGCACACACTGGCCTGTGGAGGGCAACAGCGGTTATGAGCCCTGACCAAGGAGGTGGACCCCTCAGGAACCCACAGACACGGGCCAGCATCTCCCCTAATCCTGTTACCTTTTTTGTGAAATGAGAGGTTAGACAGGAACATATGAGCATCCTTCCAGGATACAGTAGGCCCTCAAAATACAGAATGGTCGCATGTTATTCACATTTTAAAAAGTGCAATAAAGTCTTTAGGGACTAATCTTTTAAAGAGACCCCTCCCCCATTAGAAAAATAATTGCTTAATTATAAGTTAGTGGGCCTGGTGAACTCTAAGATCTTGCCAAGACCACACTGTTGTCTGCAAGCTCTGCGAGGGTTTGCAGTGATGTTATGGAAAGGCTGTGAATTCATTGCTAAAATATAACATTTTTATGACATCCCCAAACCGGGTCACAAGTCTTTTAAGTGGTGGGGCCAGTGCTGAGAAATCAACTTCCTCTCCCGGAACTGCTCACTTTGGCCTGGAAGCGAGATGTGAGAAAACACCCCAATGAGGAGTCCCCCCATCTCCCCAGTTCCGGATTGGGCGTCAGGCCAGAGCCCACTGTGAAATACCCAGAAACCAAAAAGTAGATGGCGCCGGAGCAAGATTGCCTGGGCTTGCATCCTGGCCTGTAGCCACCAGCCAGGAAGCTATAAAAAGGAGGTGATAACTGTCTCCACCTCAGGAGCCGGGGCGGACTGAGTATGAGCATTTAGCACAGTACCCACATTTAGCACCATTACCCACACTTCTCTCGTTAGAGCAAAAATGCCCTCCTGTGGTTGTAGTCACCTGCCCTGGAGAACTCCCTCTACATCTGAATTGCACAAGGGTTTTGGGAAATTCACAGTGCCACCACCCTGTCCTGAATCTTCCCGGTGGGGCGGTGGGGAGAGAGGAGCGGTCCTGGTTATCCAGATGTTTAAGATCCCCCAGGTGGACAGGGGTGGGTCGGCCACTGACACTCAGATGGGCCTTCTCTGCTTACAGGTGGGAGAGGGAAGGGATATTTTCCTCCCACATGTAGAGACACGGGGGGGACTTCTCCTATTCCATAGAGACTTGGCCAAAGACGCGGTTCATAGTCTTGTCAAAGCTCCTATCCCAGAAAAAATGAGGGCGCTCCTGCCCAGGGAGGAGGGTTTTAGCAAGGCAGAGGAAAAACATAAATAAGGAACGTTGTGCAAAATGCTGTGATGGAAAAAAAAAAAAACTCCGTGTGGCTAGATCTGCTTTTTCAGGAGGAACTCTAAACATTTTTTTACAACATGAAACCTGTCGATTTTTAAATATTGGCAACTTCTAAAAGCACGGTCTAGGCCGAATAAAGGTCGCTGCACTGCGAGTCACCTGGGCGTCCGAAGTCTGGTCTTTGGCTCTGGTCGCATATTATCCCTCCGCCCGGCCCGCCCTTAGTTTCTGTCATTCTTGGGCCAAGCCTTACTCTGACTGTCCAGGGGTGGGGCAGAGGGTGAAGGCCCTCGCCAGGCATTCCGTGGTGGAAAGGTCCCCTCCAGCCCTAAAGAGCCACCTCGCACCGGCTGGGCTTCCCACGGGCCCGGGCCGGAGTCACGCACTGGCCTTTTCTCCGTGGACCCCCCCCAAAACTCCCTCGAGGCACTGTTACTACGCCCATTTCTGGAAAGCAGCAGTGACGCGTGAGCCTGGGGGTGCCAGGATGTCCCAGGTCGTCCCCCGGCCCGAGCACCGCCGCGAGGGGGTTGCGGGATGAGCGCAGCGCGTCGGCAGCCCGTGCAACCGGCCCCGCCCCGCGGCCCCCCTGCCCCGCCCCCAGCCGGTCCGGAAACCCCGCCCCCCGGCTCCGGCCGCCGCCGGTCCGGAAACCTCCGCCGCCCGAGACAGCCGATCCCACCCGGCCGAGACAGCGTCCGCGGGCTCGGCTAACGCCGCGGCGCCCGACCCCCAGGCCCCCTCCCGCGCCTGTCGCCCCCCTGCCCGGCCCCCGGGGGGGCATCGACCTGCGCGCGGGGCGGGGGCCCCGGCGGCACCGGAGCTCGGAGTCGGCCTGGAAACCGCGGCCTCGGCAGCGCCGTCCGCGCTCGCCCCGCCCCGCGTCACGCGCCGCGCTCGGGCCCGCCCCGCCCGGCGCCGGGAGCCGCACCTCCGCAGCCGCGGGAGAGGGTCTGGGGGCCTCGGGCCCGGGTCGCGCCGCGGGGACCCCGACGTCGTTCCTGAGCCTCCGTCTCCCCTCCGGGCGGCGGGCAGCGGGCGGCTCAGCAGCCGGGACCCGTCTCTTCCTCTGCTTCCTCCTTCCCCGCGGGATGCCCGTCTCCTCCTAACCAAGCCGCTGCCCCTGCGGCGGCCACTCCTTCCAGCTTCACAGGTTCCCGCGACGCGAAGGGAGGTGGGACCAGGGCCAGATCCCCGCCCTGGACCGGCGGGCCCCGCCCGGGAGGCTGACTGCTGAAATTCTGGGTTTGAGCCTGGTTCCTCCCTCCCCTGGGGCGTAACGTCGGGCAGGCCTCAGTTTACTCAAAGGTAAAAATCCTCTGCCTTTTTGTCAGGATTAACTTCATTATTTTCTTTATTCATTCAAGAAATATTGAAGCACCTACTTCAGGCAACCACAAAGGGTTGTGGAGGCTGTGCACTGCTCGAGGCTGCCTGGCCCAGGCGACGGTGTTAGCTCCAGGCCTGCGTCTTCTCCGAGGAAGGGTGATTTTTGCTAACTTGCCCGACAGCTGTTGAGTGGTGGGCCCTCTCCTGGCTGAGGCCCTACTCTAGCTCACTGTTGAGTGAGAGAATTAAATTTAACAGAATTTATTGAGCACCTGCTGTGTGCCAGACATCATTTTAAATGCTTTCACTTCATCTAATGTCAGTAAAGCTCTGGGCAGAGTAAGCAGCGCCAGTAAGCAGTAACTCCAGGGCGTGGGATGACACTGCTGACCCGGCAGGAGGTATGGGCGAGGGTGTATGCAGGGGGCCCAGATAGCCACACAGCCCACCCCCTGCCTCGTGGCCAGGCCTGCACGGGAAGCTAGCAGTACTGCGGGGCTGCTGGGGTGAGATGTGTGCAGCTCAGACGTGCCATGCCCCTGGGCCTGAAATGTCCACCCCCTCTATGCCTTGGCCACACATGTTGCACCTTCTGCAGGTGAGGGCAGGCCCTCCCATGAGACTTGCCTTTCCCCCCAGAAACCACAGGGCGCAGGTTGGGCTGGGAAGGCCTTTTATTGGGCCGCATGCAGCGGGGGGCAGGCTCAGAGCGCTGCTGTACGCAGGAGTGTGGTCCGGCGGGGTGGGGAGGTCCTGAGAGTGGCAGTTCCAAGGGTTGGGTGGGGGCTTGCAATGCCCTCCAAGCCACAGGGAGCCTGGCCTACGCATGGAGGTGGACAGGTGGTCCTTGAAAACCAGCCGCCCCACTCATCCAGGGCTCACACACCCCAGCTCTCAGAAGCAGGGCCCAGGCCTGCCCCTCACCTGCCCTGGTGCGCACGATTCCAGGGGTCTTTGGGAGAGCCCTGCCCCCACCTGGGACCCATCTTGCTTCTGGGACTTCATTGACAGCAAGGACAGTCCAGACCTGGCCTAGATCCTACCCCACCCTGGGCCTGCCCATCTCAGGCCAGGCCTGAGCCTCTGGGCCAAAGCCGCTCTGAGCAGGCGGGCAGAGCGAGAGCATGGGAGTGGCGGAATGGGCTCGAGGATGGGCCAGCACATCTTCCACTCCCAGATCTGTCTGAGCTACGTGGTCATCTCCCAGCATCTGCACTGTCTGCACCACGGGCTGGTCAGACATCCCGACTCTCCCTGCTCTGAGGGCCCCCAAAGACACCAGGGAGAAAAGGCCTGGCAGATAGCCAGATCTAGGTTGCCATCAGGGCTTGGAGACCCACCCTAAGAGGAGTCTAGGGGAGGAGACTGGGGGAACACCCTGCACCTCCCTAACCTCAGGGGCCCCTTCTCTTAAAGGGGCCCACGCAGGCCTCCCGTGCCGTCATTCAGGTTGAGACCTCAGGCGGAGGGCTGGCCCCCCATAGCACGTGAGGCCCCACAAAGAAGAGGTGCCTGGGAGGCAAGGATGAACTAGGAGGTCGGGGGAGCCGGGCCTCCACCTCCCCTTCCCCAGCCCAGCCCTTCTCTGACAGCCCTTTACCAGTTGGGGCTCGGCGGTTGGGAGCTTGGGGACATCAGGGCAGTGGGGGCCTGATGGTGATGCTGCTGTTGGTGACCCTCGGGCCGTACCAGCCGGCCCAGTAGTGAGTGTCCACGCCGCCGTGCTGAAACCAGATGTAGCGGACGCCGGGTGGGTAGTTGGAGAACGTGTGGGAGACCTGGGGGCCGGGGAACAAGGAGGGGCCGAGGTCTTAGTGATGGACCAGGAGTCCGCAGAACTGAGTCCCAGTCCTAACTCTGTGATTTTGGGCAGACCACCTCCCCTCTCTGTGCCTCAGTTTCCTCATCTGTAAAATGGAGCAAAATCCTGCCAGGTCCACTGCATAGGATTATCTAAGAGAAGCTCAAAGAAACTGAAGGAAACTTTGCCAGCTGCCAAACGATGTCCAATATGGTCATCAGTAGGCACATGTGGTGATTAAGTTAAAATTAATTAAAATTAGATAAAAGTAAAACTTCCTCAGTTGCATGAAGAACTGGCTCTTATTAAGGGTTCAGGAGTCACATGTAGCTATTGGCTGCCATACTGGACAGCGCAGACTCCATTTCTATCACTGCCGAAAGTCCTGTTGGAGAGCACTGGTCTAGATCAGGAGTTGGCAGACTGTGGCCTGTTGGCCCACTGCCTGTTTTTGTAAATAAAGTTTTATTGGAACACAGCCATGCCATTTGCTGAAGCTGTTGAGGGGCTGAGTAGTTGTGACAGGAACAGTACCGCCTACAAAGCCTAAAAGTTTGTATCTACCCTTTTTAAGTAAACATTTGCTGACCCCTGGTCTAGATAATAATAAGAACTGATATTAGTAATCAATAATAGTCGACCTTTTTGAACATGGCTTTACCAGCATCATTTCACTGACATCCGCAGGGCTCTGAGCAGCCAGGGCCCAGGTGAGAGGCAACAGAGCTGGGATCTGAAGCCAGCCTGTCTGCCTGCAGTCTCGGCCTGGGGCCGGGTGCCCCTCACCCCGTCCCGGCACACATACTTCCCTCCACTTGGCATCGCTCTTTTGCTGGATTGTTGCTGGGTCCGGCTGGAAGGTCCCCAGAGGTGCATGCGCTGACGACAGGAGCTGAACACACAGCTGGTACTTGGACCCGCAGTCGGGCCTGGCTGCAAACCTGCAGGCAGAGGGAGGGGCCCTCAGGGCCTTGGAGGTGGGGGGGCAGGGTGGGGGTGGGGCGCCTGAATGGCAGGCTCCCCCCCCCAGACCCTCGCCCCAGGCACTCACCAGTCCTTGACCTCGATGTCCGGCCGTGTGGTGTCCATCAGCTCCTCCCAATACCCTTCGGCCTTGAGGTCCACCACCTGGGACTTGAGGCAGGTGCTGGGGGCAGGCGGAGGGGTGGGAGGGGCTGGGGCTCACCACTAGGGTCCTCGGGGGCTAGGACTGCCCCTCCCAGAGCAGGAGTGACCCCAGAGTGCAGTGACCCCACCCCGAGACCCCCCAGCCTTGGATCTTACTAATAAGAAGTCACGAAGTATTTCTTGACCTGGCCATTGGGGAATTCCTTCCTCTGGTCTCTGGACAGATCCTCCACTTTCCACTCATCACCTCCATTCACGTCCAGACTCCAGAACTCAAACCCCTCTGGCAGGAAAGCAGAGTTCACATCACAGGGAAGCCCCTCAGCGGTCAGCTTTCCCCAAGTGCCCCTTGTTCCAGGCTTTTCTCCCTGGATCTTGGCAGCTGCCCTCAAGTCCCATGCTGTGGGACACTGCAGGCCAAGAGTGTCCGCCTCATATTAGGTGCTTCCTGTGTGCCAGGCAGCATGGTAAGTGATTTCTACTGGGAATCTTGAGACCTGTGAGGATGTGAACGACCAGACCCCTTCTGTGATGGAGAATGCTCTGACACCAGCCAGACAGATCTGGGTCTAGTCCGAGCTCTACCAATACTGGGCTGTGTGACCTTAGGCAAGTTGCTTTCCCTCTCTGAGCCTTGGTTTTGTCCTCTGTCAACTGGGGCCAAGAAGAGGAGCTGGCAAACTTTTTCTGTAAAGGGCCAAAATATTTTAGGTTTTGTGAGCTACATACTGTCTCTGTCACATAGTCTTTCTTTCTTTTCTTTTTTAAAAAATAACTGTAAAAACTATTCTTAGGTCCTGGGCCATATTTGGCTCATGGACCACAGGTGCCAACTGCTGGTCAAGAACATGGCTGTTGGGGAGTCAAGTGAGGCAGGAATCCGAAAGCTCTGGAGAGCCTGGAGTTGTCTTATCATCATTCTGCTCCGGAATTTGACCACGTGATGGAGGATGAGGCTCCCATCCCATCCCAGTGTTGAGCTGATGAGTTAAACGTAGAAAGGCGCAGAGGGGACTCTGGTTGACTGTAAAAGTCTTGTTTTACCTGTTGTTGTAATGTGCTGGAAGGAAGACTGGATCTCCCACTCTTCCATAAGGAAAGCCCCTTTTGCCCTCTGGGACAGTCCTAGTAGCCAAGGTCTGGGAATGAGGCCAACAAAGTATGGCTCTGATCTCTTGGTCTATCTTGAGCACAATAAGTCCCAACTAGCCAACATTCCCCCTCCTGGGAAAGGTCACTGGGAAAATAATCTTAACAGTGGAATAAGAAATGCTACTCTGGGCCTCTGTTTGCCCATCTGATAAATGGGTACACTAACAGTACCTCCCTCTTAGGACAATTGTGAGAGGATTAGAGGAGTTAAAACCTCCAAAAGCCTGACTCACAGTAGGTGCTTAATAAATGTTAGGTGGTATCATGGCAGTGTGGGTGTTGGGGGCGTGCCAGACCCACTCTGCACCCCACCTTCAGCGCATGGGTTGTGCAGGAGATTCCTGTGGAGGCTGCGTAAGAAGTAGAAGATCTTCCAGTCAGCCACGGGCTGGTCCCAGTCCTCGGTGATGAAGCCCTCACGCAGGCATTTGCGCTTCCAGAGGGTCACGAGGTCGATGAGGTCCCGCCAGAGGCTGCAGACCAGGCGGCAGCGCAGGAGCAGCTGGCGGGCCGGCACGTGCGTGAACAGCTCCAGCAGGATGTTCTCAGGCAGCTCGTTGATGTTCCCCACAGCCATGGCTCGGGCTTCTGGACACTCTCCGCTGGTTATTGAAAAGCTATGTTACAGACCGGGCCCTCTCCCCAGGACCCGGGTGTTGCAGCCCGCCCTGGTGGTGGAGGTTCCCATCCCAGCTCCCCATTTCGCTATCTCAGGAAAGTCACCGTGCCTCCCTGAGCCTCAGTTTCCTCCTCTGTAAAATGGGGCCAGGAACAGTACTTTTACTCCTGGGGAGGGTTCGAGGAGCCTGTGCCACAGCAGAAGCTCAGGAAAAGGCGAGCTCTGATTGTTTTACGGGCGCCTCACAAGAGCCTCTAAAGGAGGCCCGGAGCGGAGGAAGGATCCGCCCAAGGTCACACAGACAGGACCCGAAGGAGGAAGGAGCCGAGTCTTCTGTGATTCTAGAGCCAGCCTTTTTCAATAGGCCAGAAAGTCTTTAGAGTGGAAAAGACAATGCTCAGCCCCGCAGGGCATTCCATCGTGTCCAGTGCCTTCTCCATCCTCTCTCCCATCCTCCAAACGGAGGAGGCCGAGAGGTTGGGGAGGAATAGTTATCATTGTTTCCGACGGAGTCCAAAGAGCTCAAGAGACTTTCTCAAGACCGCGGAGGAAACGGTCTGCCTAGCTGGGACTGAAGGAGTGGGCGAGGAGGAAAGGCCTTTCCTATACCCCCGCCCCCACCCCCGTGGCTGGGCTGCAGCCCCAGGTCCTCCGACGCGCCTGCGGCCTCCCATTTCGCGTTGTGGCTTCGAAATGTTCCTCAAAGTCGGGGCTCGGGTCCCTGGGCATCGATGGCGACCCAAGCCCGGTTGTCGCCCGTGCCGCCGCTCGAGGCCGCGCCGCGCACCCCCGCGGCCTGGGCCCTGTCCGCGCGGGGCCGCCCTCCGCGCACTGCGGCGCGGCCGGGGACCTCCGAGCCCGCCCGCCGGACCCCGCCCGCCCGGCCGCCCGCGCCGCGCCGCGGCGACCCCCGCGCCCACTGCCGCCGGTCACCTGCGCTGGGCCGCTGCTGCGCGATCTCTTTCGGCCGCCGGGCCTGAGCCGGCCTGGCCTGCGCTCGCGGGTGGATGCAGCCCCGCCCCGGCCCGCCAGGCCCCGCCCAGGCCCCGCCCCGGGCCCGCCCCCGAGCCCCCGGCTCCGCCCCCGAGGCCCGCGGTCCCGCCGCGACGCAGGAAAATCACCTGGGGGGGGCGGTGCCGGGAGGAGCCTCTGGCCGCTCCCTCCGCCCGGGCCGCGCGCCCCGCACCCTCCTCCTGACCCAGACTCTCCCTGCCCCCTCGCCTCCTCCTCCCCGCAGCCACCCCGGAGGGAGCTGCGAGTCGCCCCAGATCGGGCCCTCCCGCCCTCCTTAAAAAAAAACCGACTCCCGACCTGTCCCGGCCTCCTGGGTCTGCCGAGGAACCGGTAGCCTCAGGCCTCGGGCCGACCGCTCGGGCCTGCGGGGCGTCCGGGCGCCGGGCCAGAGGCGGGGCGGGGGCGGAGGCGGGGGCCTTTAAGAGGCGCGGCCCGGCGGGACCCGACCCAGACGCGGGCAGCGCCTGGACTCGCCGCCGCCGCGGGACTCGGGCAGCCCCGCAGCGCTCGGGCTCCTCCTCTCGCGACCGCCTTCGCAGCGATGGACGGAGACGGTGACCCAGGTAGCCGCCGCCTCCTGGACCCACTCGCTCCATCCGGGAGGGGAGACCGGGGCAGGCGGGCAAGTGCGACACAGAGGGGGCATCACAGAGCGAGGGGGCTCCTGAGACCCAGCGCGGCAAACTTTCTCCCGAGCAAAGCCCTTGAGACAGTCTCAAAAGAGCACAATCCTCCTTCTGGTGCCTCGGTCTGGCGGGAGGCCCCGAGAGGTGACACGCCTGGGTCCCACTTACGCAGGAAATAGTATGAGAGTAACCCCACGTTCCTGCCTCCCAGCTTCCTGAGGGTCTATGGGGCCGGGGTCTGGGACGCATCTGGGATAAAGGAAGCTGCAGGCCTTTTTCTTCTATCAACTTCTTCCATTTCCAGCAGCTTTGACCTGTGAGCTGCCTGAATCCCCATGGATTTCTTGGGGTCCTGGCCTCTCCCCACCCCATCCCAGCCTTCCTCCTGGGCTCCCTTGTCTGGAAGGGCTGCCCTTCATCTGGGTGGCCAGATGCCCAGTGGGGACCAGGCCAGCAGTGAGAGAGAGTTGGGATGCCGGCTCTTGCCGATGCTCAGGGCCCTCTGAGACTGCCCAGTCATCTTGCCTGGCACCAAAGATCCCCCCTCCTCACCCCTCGATCTCCCCGCTGGGCCTGTAGGGGCGGCCTGCTGAGTCAGGGTGGGAACAAACCCGCAGGCGCATTCCCTCACCTCTTCCTCAGCGGCCCATCTGAGAGTGGGCACGGCTTGGGGGAGGCAACAGGGAGCAGATTGGTGCCCGCCCAGGTAACCAAGCCGCCCTCTCCCAGCCCTGAAAATCCCAGCTCCTTCAGCTCCTGCCCCCAGTCCCTGGCCCCCTTGCCACACCCTTTATAGGGCCCCAGAATGGGCTCCTACTTTTTCCCAGGGCCCAGCTATTCCCTGGACTCCGGGGCCCAATCCAGGTGAGTGATTCAGCCTCGGAGGCAGCGTCCAGGGGCCAGATAACTTTCCGACAGCAACAATGTGGGGAGTTGTGTGTGCTTGAGAGGCTGTGTGTGTGTGGGGGGGTCTGTAATCAGATCTGGGTCCTAGAGTGCCAGGCCTGGGGCCAGGAGGGGGACTGGGCGAGGTGCACCTTTCGGGGGAGCATCAGGTGTCGACCAGGGCCAGGGCAGGGCAGGAGGAGGGGTGGAGAGGTGAGGACACTGGGCCTAGCTCCCCAGAGAGCTGTGGGCAGCAGGATGGGCAGGTTATGTGGCTTCGGGGCCTGGCATTTTCCTCTCTGTCTTCCCATTATTCTGTGCAGTGACTCGGGAAAAGCCAGTAAGCCTCTCTGGGCCTCAGTTTCCTCCTTGCCAAAAGGGAAGGGGTAACCCCCCACATCACTAAGATGTGGCAAAAAACACTAGTAATGGAGGGAAAGTGCTGTGCTCAATATGATTCACTAACTAAGGTTTATTGAGGACTGACTGTGTGCTCAGGGCTCTGAAGAAGACGCACCTGATTCAGCTTTCAGGTGTCTGACTGTGTGGGAGGGGGAGAAAATGCTGCTGCTTGTGAGGAGGGAAAGGGCTGGCAGGCTGGGGTCCCGGCAACACCCACTCAGGTCTTGGCCCTGCCTGTTCCCTCCTCCAATGCCCGGCCTGTGTCCACCCTCACCTTGGCTTTCCAGGCTCCAGCCCTTAGGAACCCCCATCCTAGGCCTGAGTGTGGTGGCCCCCCCATCACCCAGAGTGGCCCCGACTCCACCTCACTGTCTCTCCCTCCTCCAGAGACACTGGGCACTTGGTATCTGCTTACTCAAGGCTTCGATGGCCCCACTGAGGCCAGCTGGGATCCAGGAGACAGTCCAGTCCACAGCTCCTGACATCTGTCCACCTCCTGACAATTTAGATAGCCCTTCCCCCATCCTTGGGGATTAGAACATCAGCACTGTCCGAATGGTCTGGGATGATGATTACCCCGTTTTACAGATGAGGGAACTGAGAGCCAGGGATAGGAAAAGGAGGGGTGAAGAAACCGTCCATTCCCATGCGCGGGTTACATCTCCCTGTTTGATGTACATGCTCTTTTTAACAAGCCCTCCTCCCCATCCCCAAGTCACACGGCTGTGGCTGGCGGGGGTTCCAGTCCCTGTTCTCCCTTCCCTTCAGGGCTCAGATTGGCATGTCCCCTGCCCTAACACTAGCAGGGTCACCTTTGGCAAGTCACTTCACATCTCTGAGCCTGAGCATTTTCATCTGCAAAATCAAAATCCTAACAGTGCCTCCAATTCAACAGATTCTTTTTTGGAGACTGTGATGGTTAAAGGTGGCCCTGGAGCTGGACTGCCTGGGTTCCAATCCAGGCTCCCACCACTCATTTGCTGTGTGATCCTGGGTCGTTTCACCTGTTTGTGCCTCAGTTTCCTCGTCAATGAAATAGGGACAGCAATGGGAACGACCTCACAGAGATGCTGTGACGATCCAAAGAGTCAATAAAATTAAAATGCTTAGAGCAGTGCCTAGCACTTGCTAAGTGCCCAGTAAACACTAGCCACTGACAGTGTGCCATGCAGGGCGCCCGATGCCAGGCACGGGGGGGACGAAGCAGTGTTTCCCAGACCCGGTTCCAGACCTCATGCCCTCAGTCTAGTCCGGAGAAAAGTGTTCCTAAACCATCACACCCTGGGACAAAAGCTAGGAAGGACAGGAACTCAGGGCGGTGACAGGATGTAATAAGGGGAAGTCTGGAGGGCTCCCCTGAGGAGGTGAGAGGAGCACGGAGCTAGGAGAGTGCTTGGAGGATTAAAGGAGTTCCTGAGTGAAGCCTTAAAGCAGTGCTATACATGGATACTGTTAATAATGTCACTTGCTGTTATCTGCTCAGGTATGGGGTTTACTGGCCCTGCAGGGGAAACTGAGGCTGCTCTTCCGACTTGGGGCTGGTCTGCAGCCCCGGCCCCTGTGGGCCTCCTCCAAGGGGTCCCAGTCTCTGGTCACAGAATCTCTGGCCCCAGCTGCGGGTGGTCCGAGGGTGGGAGCGGGGTGGATACCGACACATCGCGGTTGCGGGGCGCGGAGGTGGACAGTCTACGGGGAGTCACAGCCCTCCTCCGGCCCTTCCTGCAGAGAACGTGGGCCAGCCCGAGGAGGCGAGCCTGGAGGAGCAGCAGGAGGAGGCGGGCGCCGGGGAGGAGCGGCCCGAGGAGGCGGAGGCGGAGGCGGCGGCATACCTGGACGAGCTGCCCGAGCCGCTGCTGCTGCGCGTGCTGGCCGAGCTGCCGGCCGCCGAGCTCGTGCAGGCCTGCCGCCTGGTGTGCCTGCGCTGGAAGGAGCTGGTGGACGGCGCCCCGCTCTGGCTGCTCAAGTGCCAGCAGGAGGGGCTGGTGCCTGAGGGCGGCGCCGAGGACGAGCGGGACCACTGGCAGCAGTTCTACTTCCTGAGCAAGAGGCGGCGCAACCTGCTGCGCAACCCGTGCGGGGAAGGTGAGGGGTCACGCCCTATTACCCCGGCCTGGGGAGCTCGGCTTCCCCATCTGTCGAATGGGCCGTAACAGTGCCAGCCTGCTTTGAGGGTTAAATGATATAAAGCTCTTGGCACAGTACCCAGCACAAAGTAGCCCCAATCAATACTGTGTTGTTATCTCCTGCCACCTGCTCCCTGGGGGTCTCTTTCCCACGTCCTTCCACCCTCAGTGAGCTGGGGCAAGACAGACCCTGTGGAGGACCCTCCCAGGAGGGAGAATCTGAGGGCAAACAGAAAGTGCTTACCATTCACCCCCACCATCACTGCCCACCACGACACCACGAAGTACCACGTGCACCCGACCCCCTGCTATAGGGGCGACAGCCAGCTCTGCCGCATCCTCAGCAGGGACTGGGTGACCAGGGTGGGGCTGTCCTGTTCCTACAGAGGACTTGGAGGGCTGGTGCGACGTGGAGCACGGTGGCGACGGCTGGAGGGTGGAGGAGCTGCCCGGAGACTGCGGGGTGGAATTCATCCACGATGAGAGCGTCAAGAAGTTCTTTGCCTCCTCCTTCGAGTAAGGAGAAGGGGCGTGGAGGGGAGGGGGAGAGGGGCCTCCGCTGAGTCCTAACTCCAGTTCCCCCAGGTGGTGTCGCAAAGCGCAGGTCATTGACTTGCAGGCCGAGGGCTACTGGGAGGAGTTGCTGGACACCACTCAGCCGGCCATCGTGGTGAAGGACTGGTGAGGGGCCAGTCCCCGGGGTCGGGGCTCGGCAGGGCGTGGGAGCAGGAGTACCGGCGAACTGTAGCCGCGGGTTTTCGGAAGGTGGAAATCCACCACCCCGCCTGAATTTTAAACGTTGGCAAGTTTTGTTTGTTTTAATATCTGTCTGTGGTCCAAAGAAAATGCGTCTTTCTGGGCTGGCTTTGGCCCCAAGGTTGGGTCTGGCCCACCTGGGGTTTAGTCCTTGGGCGACTCACTTTCTCTCTCTGGCCTTAGTTTGCTTGTCTGTAAAATGGGGACATGGGTAGTGAGGGCCCGCAGGGTTACCTTCTGCAGGAGGCCGGGCCCCTGGTACCTGCTCAGCAGGGCGCTCGCTCCCTCCCTCGGGGCAGGTACTCCGGCCGCAGTGACGCCGGCTGCCTGTACGAGCTCACGGTGAAGCTGCTGTCCGAGCACGAGGATGTGCTGGCCGAGTTCAACAGCGGACAGGTGGCAGTACCACCGGACAGCGACGATGCGGGCTGGATCGAGGTGAACCGGGGGGTGTGCGGGGCCTGCGCGCGAGGGGCGGGGCTCGTAGGGGCCCCAACCACTGGAACCAGAGAGGTGTGGTGGAGGGACCCTGGGCTCAGAAATCAGGACCGGTAGAGGAGGGTCGTTACGCCCCGGGGTAGGGTGGCTGGGGTGCCCTCAGGATCCGAGCCTGACCTCCTTATGCGCCCCCCCAGATCTCCCACACCTTCACTGACTACGGGCCCGGCGTCCGCTTTGTCCGCTTCGAGCACGGTGGGCAGGACTCCGTCTACTGGAAGGGCTGGTTCGGGGCCCGGGTGACCAACAGCAGCGTGTGGGTGGAGCCCTGAGTGACCCCTCTTCCAGACTCCCCGAGCTGCCCTGCAGATAGCCTTAGTCAGCAGCATCCTCACCAACCCCCACCCCCACCCCGCACTCCTCTCCCGCCCCTCATTCCAAGCCCAGCCCCCACACCGGGAGAGAGGGTTTTGTTGGCATATATTTGCATATATTTGCATGTAGAACAGAAGATGGGTGAGGGCATGGGCCTGGGCCAGGCCCACCGCTGAATCCCCCGCACCTAGCACAGTGCCTGCCACAAAGTGGGGGCTCAATAAATATTATTTGTCCAAGAAAGGATGAATGAACAAACGGATGAATGAACACCCCTCCCTTCGCATCCTTCTCTGTCTCCTGAGGGCCCCTGGCCCAGCCTGGAAAAATACTTGGTGGGGCTCCAGCTGCTCTGGTCTCCAAGGGCCCTGGGGCTGGTGCAGAGCCAGCCAGGCCTGGGCCAGCAGGACAAAGGCTGGGATTGTGAGGCCAAGGAGCGGGGAGCTGGGCCTGGCGCCTGACTGACACCCAAGCTGCCCAGAGGCCAGAACAGGGTGTGTAAGGGGGCGCTGGTCTCCAGGCCTCTCTTGGTCCCCATCCCCATTCTTTTCTGGAGGCAGGATGGTGGGTAGTGGCAGCACCTGGTCTAGGGGACAAATTCTCCTGGGCCCAGGGAGGGATGCCAGTGGCCGGGTGGGGGATAGAGGAACAGAGAAAGAGTCAGCTTAGTGTCCCTCTTCGGTCCATGCCCATTTCATGCTGTCCTGGTCATGTCAGCACCTGGTCTCATGGGTCATTTTCCAAGCCCTGCCCAGAGGCTGGCCCCTGGTGCTGGTTTGAGGGGAGGGGTGGGGTGGGGGCAGGCTCTGTGCTAGGCCATCTCCTTCTGGCCCCCCAGCAGCTTTCCAACCCAGCCCCTCCCCAGGACTCTCAGCCGCTGGTCCTGGGGATGGGCCAGCGTCTTGAAACATCTGCTCTCCTCTCCAAAGTGGTGGCCATTAAAGTCCCCATGCCCCTTCAGCTTTCCTTTGATTCTGAGCCCTCGTGCCACCTGCTGGGGCCTGCCTGCACTTGTTCACTGGTTCATTCATTCACTCATTCATTCGTTCACAATTCCTGAAGCCCCAAGGCTCTATGCAGGGCCCTGAAGTTACAGAGGTAAGACACTTTGTTCCAGGAAGAGTCCCTGGCCTGGCCACATCGAGGATGGGGCACCCTGGGAAGGGATCTATCCAGTGCCCCGGGGGCTCCAGTCTAATGGTGAAGGCATAGTTCCTGCTCTGGGGGCATCGTCAGTCTGACAGGGGAGAGAAATCCCTGAGAACTCCCAGTCTGAGGGTGGAGGCACAGCCCCGGACCCATGGGCCCCCTCAGTCCTCTCTAGGGGATTTCACATTCCGGGGGGAAGGTGTAGTCCACACCCACTTGGGTTGCCAATCAGATGGCCAGTGATGCCTGGCCCTGGGGGTCAGTTTGATGAGGAGCCATGAAGGAGGAGAGTGACCCCCTTGAGCTCCCAGCTTTTAGTAGAGGGGTAGTGGGCAAGGTGATGCTTTGGGACACGGGACTAGGCTGGGCGTGTGGGGAGCCAGATGGGGATGAGTCAGGAGGAGAGCAGAGCCTGTGCTGGGGCTATGGGAGGAGGCTGGACAGAGAGACGCAGTAGATGTAAGAGCGGGGAGTCTGGCTCCGGGTGCCTGTGAGGACTGGATGTCAGGGCAGGAATATGGGGGGCATGAAAGGTGCTGTAGTGGGAGGCGCTCCCCCCATGAGGCATTCAGGAAAGACGCCCACGAGGGGCATGGGGCTCTGGGTTGAAGATTTAGGAGTTGCAGTGTCTGGCCAGCAGACAAAACCACAGGCACTGGTGAGGGCTGGCAACAAGTGTGGAGTGAGGCAGGAAAGGCCCAGGGAAACCTTGGCCCCTGGGCCACAGTGGGGGAGACGAGCAGCCAGGGAGGCAGGGCGTGGGGGGAGTGGGAGGGTCCAGGCCATCTCCAGCCAGCTGCCTGCTCTCAGACGAAGGAGCCAGAAGCCCAGAGGCCAGATTCTTTGTCCTGAGGCTGCTGTGGTCTCTCCCCAGGGCACAGGGCCTGCAGAGGAAATCTGAGGGGCTTAGATAATGGGTGGTCACACTGTCCCCGCGTGTCTGTCACTGGAGAGACAATTGGATACAACAGTGGCACTTAGCGCAGGAAGACAAGACAGCTGCTCCTGGGTCTTCAATGGGCTGAGGTTGTAGTGGGAGGGGGCCGCACAGCCCACTGCGCACAGGGCACGTCCTGTCACGCCACCCCCGGAACCTTGGAGTGGGGAATGGGGGGAGGGCACTGTTATTTCCTTCTACACATGGGGAAACTGAGGACAAGAGACTTTCCCGGCATATGACATACGGAGTAACTGGAGAAGCGCAAGTTCCAATCCAGGTGCGTCTGGCTCCCAAGAGTGCTCTTAACCCCTCAGCTTTCTTGTCCCCTGCTCTGGAGGGCAGAGCCTGGCCTGGAAACCGTACAGTTAAAGGGCGGTCGTATCAGCTTCCTTCCGGGAAAATGCGACACACTTTCCAGCACGGGGTGCCTCGGGGCTCTCTCTGGACAGTGAGGAGTGTGGAGGCTGGAGATGGCAGACCGGCTGGCCCCTCTCTCAGTGGCACCTGAACATCGGCGAACGAGAGGGAGTCCTGCAGGTCCCCTAAGGTCCTTTCTAATCAATCGATACTTATTGAGCACCTGCTGTCTGCCAGGCAGGAAGAAACCAGACAAGGCCTCTACCCTCCCGGAATGTACAGTCCACATGGGGAAACGTGAAGACAAGCAGCTAAATAAATGAGTAAGATAATCACCGACAGGATCTAGCGCTTAATATACACACCAGGCACTACTCTGAGAGCTTAACAGATATTGACTCATCATCATAGCCTTATGATGTGGGAACTGTTATTCCATTTTTACAGATGAGAAAACTGAAGCACAGAGAGGTTACCTGAGGTCACTGCTAAATGTGGTGGAAGTGGGATTCTACTCAGCCACTTGACATCTGTAGTAGGGCAAACGAAGCAGAGAGTGAGGGCAGGAGGGCTACTTTGGTCAAGGTGATCAGGGAGGACCCCTCTGAGGAAGTGACGTTTGAATGATGAGGAGAAACCAGCCATGCAGAAATCTGAAAGAAGAGCATTGCAGGAGAAGTACGCGCAAAGGCCCTGAGGTGGGAATGAACTCACTTACAGATCAGATAGGCGGCCAACACGGCTGGAGCCCAGTGAGCAAGTGGGGACGTGGTTTGACATGAGGTTGGAGATGTAGGCAGGCAATCCCGAGAGCTTCCTGAGCACCTCCTGTGTGCTCTGTCTTATAAGGTATAAATGGCATAGGAAGCACATATGATATCAGTGTCCATTAGGGGAAACCTTGTCTGTCTAGCAGGAGTTGGGGATGGGGAGTAAGACATCGGCAGCTTACAGTCTCATTGATGAAACCAGATTTCCCAAGAGTCACAGGATAGACGATGATGGTGGCAGCAATGATGGTAACAATGCCAGGCGTTTGCTGAGGACTTACAGGTGCCAATCCTATGCTAAGCACGCAGGCTCATTTAATCTGCTCAACGGCCCACTCTGGTAGATGCAGATATTCCCATTTTATGGGTGAAAGAGCTAAGACTTGGAGATTTTGGGTAACTTGCTCAGGGCCACACAAGGAGTAAGTATTTGAGGCTGGATTTCCAGCTCAGGTCCTAGCCACATCACTATGGTACAGGACCAAAGATGGGCCCATGCCAGGGGACGAAGCAGGGGCAGAAGGCAAGGGCTTCGAGGTGAGGAAGAGTGGAAAGAGTTGGAGATGACGAGGACTGTGGGGCTCCAGGGGTCCTATGCATGTCCTTGTCCCAGGCAGAAGGAGGGGTGCTCAGTGTTTCTGGGCCATTTTGCTTAAGGGGTCAGGGGACGTAAGATGAATTTTCTTTTATGTTTCTTGGTGGAGCCCTCTATTTAACCATTTTGCAATGAAAAAAGTCTCTTTTCCTCTTTCTGATTTATTTACTTTGTCAATCTGTATTTTTGTATACGTGATAGGTGTAATTGTAGACATAGAGGGAAGTGGGTGTCGGGGGAAGGACCAGTGCCTCCAATCACCACTAGGTGTCAGCATTGTCAAGGGAGTCCCCAGGCGGGGCTGATCCTGCCCGGTTCTCTGCAGAGAAGGGGGCCTCAGAAGTTGGGATTTGAATCGGAACCCCGGTTTCCTTCCATTGACTGAGGCTCTGTCTGGGTCTGCAGAGGCTGGGCTCCCTGCCCCGCTTTGGGCTGCTCCTACACCAGATGCTCTTGAGAAACCTTTAGGAGGCCGGGTGCTCTGAGGCCTGAGTCCTGTAAGATGAGGAACGGCTGGTGGTTGCCAGGGATCCAGCCCCAAACAGGTCTGGGGACCTAGACCCCCCTAGTCCGTCCCCACCTCCCAGCGCCCTGGGCCTTCCTCGTGGTCTCTCGCCTGCAGCGAACACAGAGCACCCAGGCAGCTCCAGTCCTGCTCTCCTGGTGAGTAATGACTTGGCTATTTTTTCCCAGTAAATTAAAGCTAATCTTGTGTTGACTCTGCTGAACAAGGAGAATAATGAAGAAGATTAAGATGAGATGGTATTCATTCTCCTCCAACAAAAGCCAATTAATTGTCCGCAGGATTACTGCCCTGAGCCATTAGCTGCCACCAGCTCCGCAGACAGGGTGGGCAGGGCTGGGGGCATCTCCTGTTGCTTCAGCTGGGGTCTATTGGCAGTGCAGCAGGAAAGACTTCAGTTAGATGTCAGAAAGAACTGCCTATATTGGGGGGGGCTGAAGCCAAGGAGGGGGATGTGAAGCCTGTGGAATCACCCTCCAGGTGACGTTTGTAAGACACAGAGAGAGACTCCACAGGGATTCCTGAACCCCTGCACACACTGGGCATTTACCCTCTGAGGCCCTGGACCACTTGCCCATCTCCATCCCAGGCCACCTGGCACCCTCCCCTGCCTTTCCTCCCACAGGGGATCTCTCTGTGACCTGTCCCAGGTCATGGCTTCATGCTGGGGTCGCCTTTGAGAAATGAACCTGTACGCGGGGGTCTCCAGCCTCCTCCCCGCCCTGCTTTCCCGCCCCCCTTCCCCTCCCAGGCATCAGGGAGGCTGCTTGTCAGGGTTAAGAACATGGATTTGGAGACGGAAACACTTGGGTTTCACCCGACTTGGCCCCTCATCCTCATCTGCAGAATGGGACCTGCAACCCTGCCTGCCGACCTGCTTTGCTGCTCTGGGAGCTGAAGCACCCAAGGCCC